CATGAGAGGAGCCTCGCAGTGACGTGGAGACAGCAGGTTGAAATAAAGCACAAGCAGAAGTGGAGGGGGGGGCGGTGGAGACCTTCCAAGGGGCAAGGCAGGAGAAGATGATGGAGAGGATTTGGTTTAGTAGAAACCAGGAAATCTTCTGCGATAAATGGGGCTGGTGGTGGAAACGAAGGCGTGGGATTTCCAACGCGGACAGGGTGACAGGACGTATGAGCAGAAGATGTATTGAGGGGGTAGAAGATGGGGAGAGCATCAGCCCTGACCCTAGATCAAAGAAACCCTCCTGCTGTGAAGAACGGGGTGCATTACACGACTGCTTGGAGAAGGATGATGAAGCACGACATAAATGACTCAACCCACAATTTGACCAGGCAGTAGAAGTAGATAGCGAGGCTATGACCAGCCACAGGACTCTACCTGCTGACACGTGGGCCAGTCCGGCATGCGGTGGTCACCCTCCACCTGGGGATGTCCAGGTGCTGGGAGATGACGCCAAAGCTGCCCCTGGTGCCAGGATGGAGATGGCAGAGGGGTGGAGGTCAGGGCTTTGCTCCACAGCCTTAACCAGCTCAGCCCTGGAGAGCCATCCTCTTCTTACAAGGGTGCAGCCGGGTGCTGCTTGAGCACACAAGAGGAATTAGCTGTTTTGAAGCCAGCGTCAGGGTTTCTGTCTGGTGGCAGCAGGGCACACTCGACCCTGCAGCTGGAAGACGTTCCTGCAGAGCTGCTACTGGATCAGTGCCCTCACAAGTTGATTCAGCGGGTGAACTTGTTTTCTTGGCAAGTTTTCTTGTTCAGCCTGAGCTTAAATCATTGCCTTCACCTTCAGCTCATTTCAATGATGGAAAAGTAAGCCCCACTGCAAAGTGAAAGCGTTTCAGAAGGGGATACGTTGTTCCAAAAAACATGTACCAGAAATGCTTCGCGGTTTTCTTTTTCCCCCAGCTGAAATGCCTGTCAGAGCCGTGACGCACTTGCCACCCCTCTCCACTGCCTCCGTTTGGCCGTGGCCTTCGCTGTTCGCTAACACTGCGATCTAGGGAGCTTAACACTTGGAATGGCACTCACCCCCGCGCCCGAGGACGAGGAGCGGGCTCATTTCCGAGCCCTGTCCCCAGGGGCTGCGGTGCTCCTCATGGTGGGCAGCTCGCAGGGAAGCCCTTGGAGAGAATGTCCAAGGCGGAACCGGGTCATGGGGTTCGCCCCTGGGGACCTGAGCTCCCTCACTCCCTGATCAAGGGAGTGGATGCTCAGCAAGGGGAGGACATGAGCTCCACCGGGGCGTGGGAGCTGGTTGAGGCACGTCCCGGTGGCTGAGTCAGCTCTCCTGCCCTCCTCACGCTCCTTCGCAGCGCCGCGGTGGGAACGCCGCCGTTCGTGCTCGCCCGTGATCCCCTCCTTGCGCGCAGCAAAGCCTGAGACTGGCCCCTCTTTAACCCCGGCTTTACTTTTCCTGGCAGCTGTCCAGTTCACGGGAGACTGGGAGACTGGCTGGGTGAAGGCAAACACCTCCTACAAGTCCTTCAGCCACGTCCTGGTGAACACAGACGTCGGGCTGCACATCGGCCTGGCGGGGGTGAACGTCACGCTCCTGGGTGAGTCTGATGTCCCCATCCGCAGCTGATGGCCCCAGGACATCTCCAAGTGCTCTGTGGGTGGCCTTGGTCCGTGCGGAGGCTCCGGGGACCCCGCTGTCCCAGGGGTGCCCGTGCTGGGACACAGCAGGACCTCAGTCTTCTCCCTCCGGCAGGAAACCCGGTGAAGCAGGTCAATGAGACCATCAACTACAACGAGAACTTTGCCTGGAGCTTCGGTGCGGACTACGACCACAGCTATGGTGAAGGCCTGGAGAAGGGGCTGCCGAGCCCCATCCTCTACGTGGCCGAGAAGTTCACCGCGCAAAGCCCATGCGGCGTGCACAGGCAGTACCGCATCTCCGGCCACTACGCATCGGCCACTCTCTGGTGAGCCCTTCTCTCCTGGTGCAGGCAGGGGAGATGAAAGGGTGTAGGAAGGGCTCTTCTGCCTTGTCCCTAGGCCTCTGGGATGGCTGGTAATTGCATGCTGCCAGAAGGAAAGCCATGTGCACGCAGAGACCCTCTGCAAGGTTTGCGGTCAAACCGATGGCCCTGTAGGCACCTTGGGGTGGGCAGATAGGAGGTCCGGGTTCTCTCTGATGGTCAACTCCACCAGGGCTGGGCACAAGAGAGAGGAACGTGGTGCAGATCCTTGCCGTGATGTGGTGATGATGGCAGGGGTCTATCCCCAAAGAGGGATTTGGAGCTGCCATCCTTGGTCTCCCAGAGAGCTCCATGGGCATGTGCAGAACTCTCCCATCCCCTTTTGTGAGGGTATTTAAAGTCTGGGAGTGGAACCAGATGAGGAAAAACTGATGATGCTGTTATTGTGGAGTCTTTCTCGACTCTTTAACAAGGTCTGCTGGGCAGCGACATGTTGCTGCTGATTTGGGCTGGGGGAGAGCTGGTCCACAGCTGTCAGGAGATGGTCCCCTCTACCATGGCTTGTGGAGGGCAAGGGCCATTACAATGCTGCTCCCCCTGCTCTGGGTTTGACAGCAGGGATGCAGAAGCTAGGAAAGGGGCCTGGCAATGCCATGGAGCAAGAGGTTCTGGCCCCTAGCTGAAGGCTTCTCCTGTCACCCAGCTCCTCAGCCAAGTCCAGAGCTGCTGCAAATGACTTATGCCTGCTTCTGCAGTTATCCCAGTCCTGTGTGCTGCTCTCTGGGGTCTGCACTGACCCACATGTGGAAGGGCAGGGAGCTGAGATGGTCTAGATAGACTGAGTGGGCTGCTGTGGCCTCCTTGAGGCTGGTATGGTCTGTGGGCTGAGCAATGGGAAGAGGAAATCCGGGCTCCTGTCTTCTGGATGCAGCAGTGCGAGCATCGCACGTCTGCTTGCTCAGCCCGGGAGGCTAGGGATCACTTTGGCCTGCCCACAGAGCTTCTTGGCCTCATAGAGCGCAGCCTGGAGCCCAGATTCCTCCTCCTGCACGGAAATCCTCACACAGAGCATCCTAGCCCGTGGCACTTGCACAACTTACCCGTTGGTCTTCTCTTGTCTCCAGGGTGGCCTTTTGCACCTGGCTCATCTCCAACATGCTCTTCTGCATGCCTGTCCTCGTCTATGGAGGCTACATGCTCCTGGTCACAGGGGCCTTCGTGATCTTTTCGTTGCTCTCCTTCTCCACCGTGAGGAACTCCCCGATGTGCCAAATCCAGTTTGGGACCGCAACCCTGCGCACAGGCTATGGGGGATCTTTCTGGCTCACACTCGTGATCGGTAAGGACACCGAGCTACATCAGGGCACCTTCTCCCTCTGGGTGTGAGAAGGCATCGTCCCCCTGGCAGGGGGACATCAGAGGAGGGGTGTGGGGTGGGGAGTGTGCTGGTGTTTACAGGAACGCTCTCAGAGAGTGTGTTGTCCTCCAGGTTTGCTCTGTTTTGTGGCTGGGATCACTGTTGTCGCACTGCACTGCTTCAACTTGGACCTACTGAAAACTCTCTTTGATCTCCGTGAGGACAAAGCAGAGGAATACCAGGAAATGACTGAAGTGTATGTCAACCCTCATGTTGTGAACAAAGGGCTGTCTCCTCAGCCCTCCAAACTCAACCTCAACAACATCTAGAAGAAGGCTTTTCCACTTCTTTCCTGACGGTGGGCCTGAAAGGGCAGAGTACCAAACCCTTCTTGATGTCCCCGAGACCCATTTCCCCATCCAACTGCCTTTGAAGAGTGCATGACTCCATGCTGGGATGAGTACTTGCCGAGAAGTGCTTTTGCAGACTCTATCTCCCCGACGGTGCCCTCTGGAGAAGGGCAGCGTCTTGAGCTGCACACTCACCTGGGGATCTCTGTCCCAGGAGAAATGCCCATTCTGCTCCATGCCCTGGCACAGCTTGGTGCTGTGAGTCTCTGCTGGCCAGTTCCCACCCCAGAAACTGAGCTTGCTGGTGAAATTTCTCACCGTGAGCACCCACAACTCCAAAAGCCAGTGATTAAACCTGATCATTTCTTCCCCAAGCACTGATGTTTAGTGTAGACCTTTAGGTGTACCTAGGAAAGCCAGGCACAGACCCAGACTCCGTCAGGCTGGGTGCTGTGTGAACTAGAGTAAAAAAAGCTGCTCCAGAAATAAAGACTGAGTAAACATAGGCAGGAGTTTGCTGGGGAGGATGTGGTGATGTAATTATTTTCACTTTTGAACTTGGGCTTTATTAGACAAGACTCGTAGTCTAGAGTAGGCCAAAAAGAAGAAGGAGAAAAGGAGGAAGAAAGGAAGGAGAGGGAAGAATGAAGTTACCCTCATCCAGCTGGAGCACACTTGGGCTGGCTGGGCTCACCACGAAATGCAAGCCTGAGGCCAGGAGTCAGATCCAGCCAAGGTGAGAAATGAAGTGCATCAAGTTGCGTGACTGCAAACAGAAGACAGGCTCTGGCACCAAACCCACTGGCCTGATGAAGCCTCCATGGGCTGGCACCAGGAGACTGCCGGACACCTGGGCAGCTTCAGTCCAATTCATTGTAAAGGACATAATTTCAGTATTTTGGCTCTCTGAGAAAAAAAAACCCCGCTGTTAAGTTACTTGTTTCTTTCACACGATATTTGTGTTGCACTAATGTGATTTGTTATGCACAAGAATTATTATTTTCAATAAAACTTTGTTAAAAACCCACTCCTTTGAAACACTTTGGGCATTTGGGGGGGCTGGTTTCTTAAGAGGGGGCTGTGCGGCATATCTGAAGGCAACGACTTGCGAGCCCCCAGCAGCAGCACCCTTCCCGGGGGGGGGGAAGCTGCCCTGGCAGAGGTGCCCCCAAGGAAGGACAAGTCTTGTTGGCATGTGCCAAGGTGAGCAATTGAGAAACCCTTGTCGTGGGGAGCAGCAGGGATGTAAGAGAGCCTCAAAAGGACCTTAACTAGTCAAGCAGCAGGACAAAAGCCATAAGATGAAACCAACAAAACTCCCTCAGGAAAAGGGAAGATCCTTTCTTGAGTCTTTCTTGCATCCAGACATGTCAGGTCCGGAGGCATGGTGGGAAGATGCTGCAATCAACCACAAGTTATCGGGGTTGGTGTGGGACAGATCCCCTGACCTGAAAGCACGGGAGGCTGGAGGGTTTCCCATCCTTTCTGCCACCGCACCTGGCACTCTCCAGCCTCATCTCCTGCTTTTTAGGCATGTTCCCCCCCGCTCAGCAGCATCCTCAGCAGAAGGCCTGTGGCATCAGACATGTAGGGGCATGAACCCAAAGAAATAAAACTTAAACAAAATTCTATCTGTTTGAAGCACAGGGAGACCAGATCTCTGCGTGTCTTGCCCACTTCCTGGCAAACACCGGCCGGCCGGGATTTCTGCAGCAGACATTGCGTGGGGCCAGCTGAGCAGTGTCGAGGACATGATGGGGGATGCAGAAACCCCCTCAAGCACCGTGTCCCGTGCAGAGCAGGGGGTCAGGACAACAGGGGCTGGCCGTGTCATGGGGGCTGGCCACCGGCGAGGAGATTTGCAGGTGGAAGGCTTCTTCCCTTGCCACCACAGGGAGGTGCACACACGAGGGCCATCGCTCGGAGATGATTATTTTGCCTCGCTGCATGTTGTCATAGCAGCTTTTCCACATGCACTATGAGAGCTGTGGCTGTATGGCCCCCGGCCTGTGGTGGCGCCCCTGCGCCCGCCCACCACAGCCGCTGGCTCAGTTTCCTGGTCGGACTGAACCATTGTTGGACAATGAGATGTAAAATAATCACCATTAAACCCCTGGCTCTTGGCCCAGGCTGCTTGTGGCCCCACGCTGTCCAGGGAACCTGGCATCTAACCAGAGGGCCAGTGCCAGCCATGGAGCAAACACCGTAAGCGCTTCCAAGAGCACAGCCCAGGGTCTGCAGGGACCGTGGTGGCCATGCCTGGAGGCAGTCGTTGCACCAGGGCGTGCAGCCACCATGCCATCTAGCAGGCAGCAGAGCTGCCCACTCCCCTGCCCCCAGCCTGGGCTGCGAGGGAGAGCATGCCAGGGGAAGGCTGAATTTATATTCGGTAAATAAAAGGGGTTCGTTGCACCTCGGATCTAGTCCATCTGTGGGCTGAAGCATCTCCTGGTACACGTCGCTGGGAACATCCTGGCTGAGGTCTTCCGAGCCCGAGGAGTTCAGCTCCAACTTGTTTTTACATGTCTGTTGGGTCCTCTAGGTCCTCACTGAAGGCTGTTCCATCTGGAGCAGGATGGGGCAAGATGCCACGTCTGAGCACCCCCTCCCCAGAGGGCCTACCCCATGGTGGTCCCTCTGCAAACCTCTCCGCTGGACTGGGGATTGCTCCCATCAAACCTTCCACAGGCCCAGGGTCCCTCCAGGAGCTAAAGTCCTCCCATATCCCCCCTGCTCTTTTGTCTGCGTATGCTCAGATGCCCTATTTATTGCCTGTTGACTTGCCCTTATTGCCCTGCGCCGGCTAACCGGGGTCAGATGCCCCACATGGGACCACAAAAGGGCTCTGCCTTCGCCACCTTCCCTTCCCTACGGCTGCTGTGTTGCAGCAACAGAGCATCCCCGGCCCACCAGCCCTCAGAGGGATGCCTCCACCAACAGACAGGAGAAAGACCGGGTCCAACTTCTTTTACTGAGATAGAGGGGAAAATAAGTGAGCACAAAACAGAAAAAAAAAAAAAAAATGTTGCAAAACCTGCACAGAGTTAAAGGGATGCAAACATGAAACGTGCTCCATCCCCTCCCTCCCTGCGCGGGCAGGGTACCTGCTGGCTGTCAGCAGACAGCAGCGGGCGGCCGCACCCTTGGGTGTGCAGAATTTCAGCGCTGTGTGCCCCAAGACACATGTCTTTCCATGGCTGAGCAGGAGGGAACCAAGCCTCCCAGACCGGGTGTGATGCTCACCTCTTGCTAAGTGGTGACAGCGGCTCTCCAGGGCATTGTAGCACCTCCACTCCCATCTCCTCCTCTCCTTCCCTCCCACCGAAATTTCCTTCCAGAGGGCTGCAAGAGCACCCATAACTCACAGGCTGGGGTTTGGGGTGTCTATAAGCACTTCTAAGAAGCAGGAGCCAACCACCCAACACCCTGACTATGTTGTTTCCAGCCCAAGGTAGAGCCCACCACATCCGAGGCTTACATCAAACTTGAGCTGCAAGGCATCAAGATGGGTCTGAAATCCAGACCTCCAAGGTCTGGTACCTCCAGCAACCTACTAAATTGTGGCCCTCCTTGTCAAGCTGCTCTTCACCCTGGACCAAGAGGACATGCTGGATACAGGGCACCCTGGTGAGCACAGCTCCACTCGCTTTTCCTAACTGCTGATGGAAAGAGTATCCCCGGGCAGAGGGGACGTCTCGGGGGCCTTCAGGGTCAGGGTGCTGTTGTGTGGGCTCTAATTCTCCTTTGGTTCATATCTATGTGTCTGCAGTTATTTGGTCTCTCTCCAGTTTGTTCTGGTTCTGTATCTTTGGGAGGACTCAGGGTTTGTTAGGGATGGACTAAGGGGAAGGGCAGTAGCCCAGTGCCCATAACTGGACAGCCAGGGATGGGGCATGGATTCTCCTCACCCCAAAAGCTCTTCCAGTTGCTGGGGGGTAAAACAACAGCAAAAAAAATGAGGGCAAACTGTCATATTGGAGACACCTTTCCAGGCTTGGGTATTCTCGTCACCCGGCTCTTGTCATGCCTCTTCCCACCTGGACTCCTGGTGGGGTTGGACCGGAGCATGAATTCAGGAGGGGTGTCCTTGGGCTTTGCCCTGCCTCCCCCCAGTGCCTTACAGCTGGGTGGATGTCACTTCGCAAAGCTCACCCAAGGGGACCATCAGCACGTCCTGCACAGAGGAGCCGGGCTCGGCTGGTTGGCAGGACTTGTCCCGCCCCTCTTCTTCTCCCTTTCCCTTGTCCAGGTTAAAGACAAGCTTCAGCTTCTCTGGCTGCACGGAGTTCAGGATGATGATGCCCAAGCCCAGCAGCAGACACAGCAGTCCTGCAATGCACAGCGTGGGGAGACATGTTAGCATGTCCTGCCCGCTGCGTCCCAGCCCCATCTAGGTCTGGATCTGGGGTTGGAGGCCAACGAAACGTGGCATCACCCAGGAGGTCAAGGAAGGGTGTTATTTCCCTCTCCGCAGCTGGACTCTGTCATCAGTTTGGGCTCCCCAGTGCAAAAGAGAAGACAATGAATGGGGGGCAGATGGCCAGGAGAGTTGGGGCTGAAGCCCACCATGTATGGGGAAAGGCTGGAGGAGCTGGGCTTGTTTAGATTGAAAAAGAGGAGTCTACAGGGGGACCTAATTGCCAGCTTCTGCTACTGAGAAAGAGCCAGTCTCTTCTCGGAGGTGCACAGTTTTAACATGGGAAATTCTGGTTTGATAAAAGGAAATAATTGCTGCCCGTGAGTGGGACAACTGTGGGGCAGGTCCTGAAAGGCAGAGGGGATCTTTAGCCATGGGGACATCCACCTCCAGACTGAACAAGGTGGCTTTGAGGTTAGCCCTGCTCCGGGCAAGGGCTGGGAGAGACAACCCCGAGGGTCCTTCCCAGCCAGGTCTTTCCCTGACTGTTGTGAGTCACGACTTTCATGGCACTCCTCTGGGCACACCTCCACACAGGTAACTTTGGCCGTTCAGATCTCCTGGCTGCTTGGCTCTTTTTCCCCAAGTCTTAATGATGCAATCCTAAATTCTTGTATGACATTTAAAAAAAAAAAAAAAATTTCTGTGATCTGCCATGGAGACAGAAGGGATGAAGCACTGTTGGGGCATCACTGAGCATCATCACTGGAGGGATGGAGAACAAAAGCCCCAGGAGCAAGCTGAGCACTCACCTGTCGCTAACGTCAGCCAAAAGGATCCACCATAGTCTGTTTTCAGAGAAGCTGGGCCAAACTGGATGGGACACTTGGGAGTGTTCTTTGCAGTGAAGAAAAAGAGCAGTGAGAAGAGCATCAACGCAGCAGTGAGCAGGAGCGTGTAGCCACCGTAGAGCAGGATGGGCATGGAGAACAATAGGATGGAAATGAGCCATGTGCAAAAGGCCATCCTGCAAAAGGACCACGAAACCGAGCAGAAAGCGTCACACTTCGAGCCTGTTCTGAGGGTCTCCTCTCCACATCCCGATGAAAGGACACAGCCTTGGGCAACCTGCTGTAGCTGGCCTTGCTTGAGGAGGTGGGCTGGACAGGCTGATCTAAGGACTTCCCTTCCAACCCAAATGATTCTGCGACTGTATGAATGGTGAAGCTGTGGCACAGGTCCTGCAGTGGTGGAGAGGGATCTCCATGCCTGGGGGCATTCAGTGTTGAACTTCATGAAGCCTACCTAGCACCTTGATGTGGCTTTGACATCAGCCCTACTCTGAGCAGGGGACTGGAGTAGAAACCTCTGGAGGTCCCTCCCAATTAACTCTCTCTGATTCTTGTGGTCCTCCACAACTGGCCACCAGCAGGCAGTTCTCACCTGTTCAAAGGGAGAACGGCAGCAGGGGAGACTCTTCGTTTGGAGAACCACACAATGAGCCGTGCCCACATCTGATTCAGCACCTGGAGTGGACCCAGCTGCCAGCCCTGCCCTGTGCCTGGGGTCTGGATTTAGCTCGCTGGGGAGGTGAACCTAACAAATTGTTCTGATTCCAAGAATAATAATGAAAAATAAATTTACATCAACATCCTTGCCTTGAAATACTCCTTCTCAAGAGCAAGAAGGTTTGGGCAGGGCTAGTTGTTCTTTCTGAAAATAAAAAAGGAGATGTGGGCAGGGACCTGGAGCCTTCATCCACAGAGGGAATCACAAGACTCATTCTTCCCTGCAGTGCCTTTCCCACAACCTCTGAGACAGGTGGGGATGCTCTGAGACTCCATGATCACAACACACACAAGGGATCTCAGCTTTACACCACAAGACAGCCTCTGAGCACCCTCTTGACGGTGTCTCCTGCTCCCCAGCAGCAGGTCTTATGCCCTCTTGGGGCTGGTCTTATCGGGGCTCCGCATCTTGCTTGGGAGAGGACCTTGCACTATAAGCCCCACACAGTTGCATCTTCTTTCCTTTAACTGAAGAATAATTTTTCTCCAACTGCAATTTTGCACATCAGGGCAGAGCACATAGAAGAGGACTCTGGGGAGATGGGCAGGCCAGGAAGCATGAGCATCCCCAGTTCTACAGACGGGTGGGTGCCAAAGACCAGCCAAGGCTTTGGCATGGCCTTACAGGGAAGAAGGTGGCTCCATCAAGCTCCCTCTGCTCTACCTGGTTCTTTCCACCTCTCCACTGAGCAGAGATAGGGCTGACTTCGTGCTCTAACTTACCACAGCGTGAGGGACGCATAGTGGCCGGAGATGCGGTACTGCCTGTGCACACCACATGAGCTTTGCACGGTGAACTTCTCGGCCACATAGAGGATGGGGCTGGGCAGCCCCTTCTCCAGGCCTTCACCATAGCTGTGGTCGTAGTCTGCATTGAAGCTCCAGGCAAAGTTCTCGTTGTAGTTGATGGTCTCATTGACCTGCTTCACCGGGTTTCCTGCCAGATGACCGAGACTAAAGACCTTTCTCAGCCTTGGAGGCAGTTCTGAGATTTCCTGGTGTTGGGGCTTGAGGGCCCACAGCCCCAGTACTCAGCTGCATGGCTGCCAGACTTACACCCAATCTCCTCCTGTTGTGATACGTACTCACCCACCAGTGTGATGTTCACCCCTGCCAGGCCAATGTGCAGCCCAATGTCCACATTTACCAGGGCACGGCTGAAGGACTTGTAGGAGGTGTTTGCTGTCACCCAGCCGATCTCCCAGTCCCTGGTGAACTGGATGGCTGTGAAGACTTCAAAGGTTAGTCATGGCCTGATGGCGATACATCTAGTCCTGGAAGCACCTGCCATGATTGTCACCATGGCCTAAGCATCATCTACCCCAACCCAAGGGCAAGGCCTGGGTTGTGAGCCCCAGGGAGCAGAAGCCTTGTATGCCCTTCCCCAACATCATCCCCGACCCATGACCCTGAGACCCCCATTTGGGTTGGTGTCTCCCCAGACCCAGCGCAGCCCCTAACCCTAGAGACAATGGCTCTGTCCAGGCGCTGGTCCTCATCTAAACACCTGCCAGTTTGTCTGGGTCCCCCCGCAGTTGGCGATGGGTTTTTGGTGACTGCCCTGGAAGTGGTCTCCACATACAACGGCCAGCCTTCAGGGAGGAGGCAGGCAAGTGCTTGCACCTCCCACCACTTGCTGGAGCCAGGTCCCAGACACAGACGGGGGTTGGTCTGCCCCATAAACTCATCCTATGGGCTGAACTTGGCGCTTGGCTGCTCTATTGACCCTCCCTCGCCTTGCTCCTCCATCCTCCATGTCTTGGGCATCCTTGAGCTTCACCCCCAGGACCCTGGTACTCACTGAGGACCACCGCTCCCACGAAGAGGCCCATCACCACCCGCAGGAGCCAAAAGAGTCGCTGCGAGGGGTGAGCAGAGGGAAAGGACAGGTCTCGGTCAGATTTTGCCATGGGGACCTCAGCACCGAGCGTGTCCTTTGGAAATGCCAGCCTGTGAGAAACGGAGTCACGCCCCGGGCTCTGCAGGCGGGCGGCATAGGGGGCACACGTGGCTGGGGCACGTCTGCTGTGGGGTGGGGGAGGCAGCAGGGAGATCTGGGTAGAGCAAGAAGGTCAAAAGAGCCCATTTGGGAAAGTCATGCCGTACGCTTTCTGGGAAGGAGGATGGAGACGCTGCCTTCTTGAGCTGGGATTTCCACACATCCAAACCTCACATGTCTGGACATAGTGGCAGCTGGCCACAGCTGGAGACAAAAGCAGCAGCTGGGGATTTGCATTGTGTCTCCTGGCGGGGGGAGATGCCTCTCGGCCAGCCCTGCAAAGCCAAGCACGCAACAAGCACGCAGCGTGCGAGCAAGAGGGCTCGCAGTGGGCTTGGTTGGCCACTGCCCCGCAAGCAGGGCTGGGGCACGCATGGTGCACGCCTCCTCCTTTTATTGGGGTTTTGGGGAAGGTGGAGCGAGGTCTTTGAGCCTCAGCCTGTTTTTCCACTCCTGCGAAATCACTTGGGCTTGCTCACAGCAAAATCCAGCCAAGCTCAGATCTGGGCGCCTCATGAATTTGGGGTGGTGGAGTTTGGTGTCTCCAGCATAGGGGTACATGCTGGGTTGGGCTGGAGCTCACCCCCCCATGGCTCACTAGAGATCCAAGAGCCCTGGCCATGAACCTGTGGGCATGTTTGCTCCACAGGCCTA